ACACACACACACACACACACACACACACACACACCTGGCTCACATCACAGCTCTTTTTTCTTTTATTTGTTTCTAAGGCAAACACATGTTCCCTAGCTGAATTGTGCACACCGATAAATAAAGCACACCCATACTCCCACATGTTCTGTACATTAAACTTCTACCCCACTCCCACCTACACATACGCACACAGATGCTAAGGGCCCCCGGGAAGCGTAAGGCGCTGAGACTAGTTCTGTAGATGGGTGTTGTCTACAGCTGGTGCTGGATCTAGTTACTGACACTCCCTATCATTCAACTCTATAAATCGCACTATAACTGATGTGCACATATACAGCTGAGCTAGCGCCCCATCTTTTTTGGTGTGACTAAGAATTGGTGTGCACACATATGCAAGTCAGCAAACACACCCATTGAGATTTTCTGTGATTGAGTAGTCCAACATCTACTGAGTTTAAAATCACATTAAACTTCTGCAATTATGGACAATGTGTGTGAAAAGAGAAGGGAAAAAAGCGCTCTCTTTCTCTGTCTGTTTGTGTGTGTGTATGTGTGTGTGTGTGTGTGTGTGTGTGTGTGTGTGTGTGAGTGTGTGTGTGTGTGTGTGTGGGTGAGAGAGAGAGAGTGTGCGTGTGTGTGAAGGTGGTTCCTCTCTGATGGTTTATCTGGTGATAACCGGTAGAGTGAGATTTTGCCAGATTGCATCCATGCGCACCAACGTCCAACTGAATTTTTTTGCATAAGGATAATAAAACGAATTTGTCTCACTTTTTCCATGCTTGTGTATCCTTGTTTTCCCTCTCAATCAGCTACATTGTTCCTTTATCTTTTGCCAACAGCTGTCCACTTTTCTCTTTAGTTTTTCCTCACTTTATGTGTTTTTCTCAATGCTTCTTTCTATTCCTGCGAGTTTTACTGCACATTTAAACAATCTGGAATCATTGCATGTGCCGCAGGGAAGGGCAGAGGCCCATGGGCCAGCTGAAGGAGAAGGGAAAGGAAGAGGAGAGAGAAAACACGAAGAACGAGAGATGCAGAGAGGAAAAGAATAGATGTGGCTCAATAACACATTGAAACAGAAACAGGGAAACGGGAATCAATTATAATTATTTATGCAACAACAATGGAACCACCACACCCCTATGGACCTAAACTCCAGTCCAAAAAGAAATGGCCACATGACAAGACACACCTTTTTTTAATGATGATGTCTGGGAAACAAAGCTGGAACCCCAATATAGTAATAAAGATGGAGGGCTTTTCATTCGCTTAGCCAGAACTGATAATAACAATAATAACATAGATTTTTTTTAATCAGCTAAAGGTTAATTGAATTGAAACATGACAGGGATTCGGGCAAAAGGCACAGTGGTAATTGTGCTCACACAAGCAAAGGCAAGAGGAGAGAAAAAGACAGAAAAGGAGAAAGACAGGTGAGAGCCAGAGGGGAGTAAAGGTGGGGGGAGAAATGGAGGCAGTGAGATAATGACCAGCACAGTCAGTTAGTCAGACATACAGACAGACAGACGGGGGGAGAGACAGACATAGATGGATAAATAGATAGACAGATAGATGCACAGATAAAAAGATAGATAGAAGCCACCATGCACACTAACACATGAAATGCTCTGCTGAAGAATGCGCTGAATTAACTGGAAACAAATTATTACCTTGTGCCTTGGCGTGCGTAGCCAGCAGGCTTCCTAATAGCAGAATCCACAGGTATGACATCATGGGAACACGGCGAGGCTGCGAATAAAATCGGGGTTCAATCTCCCTTTTCTCGCCCTTCAACAATGACAATTAACTGGCGTGGAGGTTTCAGGTAGATCTGGAGGGCGTGCTCGCGTGTGTGCCGGTGCGTTCTTGCGCGTCGGATCAATCCAAGGTGCTGAGATGCTCAGGCTCAGTGCGCGCCGCCGCGGATCCGTCGTCCCCTTTGTCTGGATTGGGAGAGAAGGTTCGGTTTTTATTGGTAGGCGGTCTCTTCTCTCAAATGAAGGGAGGCGGACTGACTGCTAGGTACGTTGCTGTGCTGGCATTCACATGACTTTCCGCGCTAATTAGTGGGCTTTTTGTCTGTATCTCTCTGTTAAGTATTGCGAGCATTTCGGGTGCATGCTCTTCGTTATCAAGCGCGATTAGTGCCGATTAGGAGTTGTGTCATTCATGATAGCAGCCGCCATGCACTATTTAAACTCGAAAGTGCCACTAATGAGTATAATCGTGTCATTCATTAAGTATTTCCCAAATTTTGATAAAGGGTCCAGCAAGACCTCGAAAGGATCTATCTCTTATGTGCTGAGGTCACAGCTGTGGGGATGGTACTATGAGTTGGGTAGGGTAGTATCATCAGCAGTTAGATAAGAGCTGTATAAATTATATATGTTGTAAAATGTACTTTGGTTACCATGTTACCTAATATGACGATTGCCTTTAAAATAAAGTAAAAAAAAAAAACATACAGAACGGCTGCGAGATGAAAGCCAGATTTATACAGATAACATTAATAAACCTGTAACCATCCAAACAGCAAAGACAACACTGCACCTAAGCCTCACTCTTTATCACAACTGCCTCAAACACTCATTTCCTTTCAAAACCAGTGGTAACCAGATAACAAGCACGCCATGATTTACCCACAGAATAGTAACAGCCAATAGCAGCTCTGAGCTGGCTCTTATGAAAGCCACATAAATATCTTGTTGATCCGGCCATGCTCAATTTACAGGCCAAGGAAACGCATCGGATCCAACTAACACTTAATAACAGGTGATGTTTGGTTAATTTATTGTGGCAGAGCACGGAAGGCCTCAAATATTCTCAATAATTTCAAATATTACCCAAACCCCAAAAGTATGTTTCCAGCCACATACTTTTCATCATGTCTAGTTTCTAGGTTGGTTTTCTGCTCCCTTGAAGCAAAGAAATAGCCAACCTCCTTGGGCTGTCTTCATGAGTACTGTAGGAGCAGCATGCTGATTCTAACGATGTTTCATGGGAAATTCAGTTTTGCATAGCCATTTTCATGTGCAGTCACTAATCTGTGGTCAGGGACACAACTTAACCTATGCAAGATACACACACACCATACACTACTAAAACTTGCTTAAACTAATAGAATTTAAATGGAAAGTAAATAAAAATAACAGAGAATCCAGGATGTGCTGCAGGATCCTCAGTACCCCTGCTTCCCATGGCCTTGGCTGAGACACCTAAAGGGATTTTTTTTTTGTCTGTTTTGTTTTCTTACAGCAGCTTATCCCTTCATGACTTAATGATTTCCACATAAGTTTAATCATGATTTCGATTGTGTATTCTACATTTATAAACTTATGCTAAGATTTAAGATTAAGTCTGTAATTTGCTTCAATTTATTAAAAATATCATTTTCTGAAGAGGACAGAAAATCACTGATGTAAGCCTTAGGTCTGTTTTTGATGTTAAATTAATGTTAGGTTTCCATTTGAGAAAACCACACATGACCTCATACACACCAACCAACCGACCAGAAGGTGGATCTGAAAGGGGAACATTTTCCTTTCCTCACCATTAAAAAAACCCAAAAAAAAAAAAACCCTTTCCTCTCTGCCAAAGTGAAATGCGTGTGCTTTTATTAATCCACAGGTGGCGCCATTAATTCAAATCTTAATAAACTCCAAATGTCCAGGGCTGTGTTCAGATATAAAAACACAGAAGACAACATGCCACCATCTAGGGCTGTTTGTTGACATTTTTAATGAATTTTACACTACATTTTGTGTGCTGTGTAGTACATTTGCATGCATTTGACCCATGTACCCACTGAAGACACTAATATGAGCAATTTGAGAAAGTATAGACACTGACACATTTTCACTTTCCTCCCACCAGGTGCCATGGAAAAATTAAAAATTAAAAAAAACCCTGAGGGGATGGTTTTGAGTTATCTTGGCAGAGATGAATCACTGAGGTTTGACCTTTAGACTTTGGTAATAAAAAGCCTGTTTCTCTTATCTTTTAACGGCAAATAAATGTAAACAGGAAAAGCAAACATGTCTACGTGAAGAATCAAAACACCCACAGCCACCTTTACATGCCAAGTAAAACCAGCAGTCACATTTCATCCCGCTTCCCCGTTCTCTTTGGTTCCTCTGCCAGTCGGTATAAAAACACAACAGTAAGTTCAAAAAAGGGAAATGTTTATTAGTGTCATAACACAATGATTACATCTGACACGTTTGTCATTTAGAAAAAAAACAAAACAAACATACATAAAGCTTCAATTTGAGATTCTTTCAGTAAAACAATTGTTTATTCTGGGGAAAAAATTATTTGCTGATCTCAGCACAACATTCAGACGTCAGATCCATTATGCACCAATTTTTCTCCCCTTCAGATTGATGTCATCGAAGAAGCACAAGTATGCGTGTATGTTTATGTAAGCCTAATGTGAGGATCTCAACCAAAAAACAGTCTGTATCTGTGTGTAGCTGCACTCAGGTCATATCAGAATAAGTGGTGAGGCACATTGACAGTGGGCTGAGTTCTATATGGGTTTTTTTCTGTTGCATTAAAGCTACAATGCTTGACAGCAAATAAAGGATCCGATTTTTCGCATTTACGGTTAAATTTTGTGTAAACAATTAAACTATGAAACTCAAATTGTGAGAGTGATTTCTTTCCTCAGCCAAAAAACAAAACAAAAATCACATAACCGAAGTTTTTCAACCCTTCTTCTGTATTTTCTAGTATAAATTTGTAGTATAAAAGCACTTGGTCGTCAATACTTTGGTTAGCAACAGATTAACAATAACAAAGATTACTTCTGTGTGACGAACATAAAATGACTTTTAAAAAAATAAAGAAAAAGAAAAATGGAAATATAAAAAGTGTAGTGGCTTTCTAAAGCTCGGTCCATGTTTACAGTCATATTTCTTGCAGTTTATTTCATCTTGAACATTCACCAGTGCACTCTTCTGCTTTTGTTTGGTTCGACTTGCTGTTGCAAATGTGAAATTTAAACACAAACGTAAGCATAACATTAGAAGTTCTATCAGAAACAAGTTCCCCATTCTTTAACTCATCACTATTGCCATTAATCACCTAAAATCAAATAGTATGAAAACCTTTATGTAAGGAGATTCTGGAGAGGGTTGAAAGGTAACACGTAAAGATCCTTCCATCAAGGCAGGCAACTCTAAAACGAGTCACATGAACCACTGTTTGCAAAGTGCAGCCTGTGTCAACTCAAACTAGTATATTGCTCTGTGTTATTCATTGTGACTGATTGAGAGAGCTAACAACTGAAATATACTGCATGGATAATCCCATGGATCCATTGTGCAATGATAATGCCACATTTTCTTCCTGGACATGTTAATGAAAGCGCAACTAAGGATGAGTGTGTAAATTTGGACTGTCTGAAGTACGAAGGTCAGAAAATCAAGGAAAAGGTTCTATTAAGACACTTGACGTTAAAGAGGCATTGTTCCACTTTCACTTTTTTAATGTGTGTGTGCTTCAACTGAGTATAGCAAAACAAATTAAAGGCAGCATTTGGGTTCCCATCTTTTCTCCACAGGACTACAGTATAATCACTGGCTGTTGGTCCTAGTCTGTACAATCAGAGTATAGTTTTGGTGCAAAGTACGATCGCTTTGGAAAGTTCGGCTCACATTTTGCTGAAACACTCCTTGGCATTGGACCACACTTGGATTCCCTGTAACAGTACACAAGTACCAGAGAAAAGGAGTGACTTAGAGACATTGAAAGACAAGACAGAAATACTAAACAGTTAAGGAGTGGTACTGCTGAACAAAAGACCACATGCTAGGAATTTATATAAATACACAAAATACACACAAGAATAAATGTCCACACCTTCTTACACATACTGATCTGCATAATGGCGTAGCTTATCAGCGCCTCACGCAAATCTTTGTCTTTCTGCTCTTTAAAATGTTCGATGTCATCCCATGCTGCTCGCACAAACTGCCTGGTGGCACAATCACAAAGACGCATGATACTGTTAGTCTGTTTGCGTGGAGAAGAAGCACAGGGAGAAGAACAAAGGAAGAGGTAGAGGAAGAAGAAAAGAAAAACAATGCAGCATTTGCTTTGTTCCTTATTAGGTTCTAGTTCCTGTATTTTCTACTGATACCACTGGCTTTTGTTTTTCCGTTGAAAAAAACAAAAAAAATTGAATAGAACTACTTTTTAATTACACACAGAACCTCAATTTGTCTCTCAACACTTTCAGCAAATACCTCAGTTCACCAGTTTGTGCTGGGGAAAAAATTATCTAGTCTCCTGTTATTATTCTTTGCATTTATGTTGTTCAGTTGCAACAGTTCAGTCAGAAAACAGAGTCAGATTATGTGCTATATTTTTCACACAGAGGAAGAACAGTGAGGAAGAGAAATTTAAAATAGGGATAATTTCAAAATAGGTAAGTGGTTGATAAGATAGTGTTGTGCTTACTGGCACTCGGTGTTCTTCTCCTTGACCGTTTCCTCTCCTTCCTGAATACTCTGCTCCAGGGCTGCTAACCTGCTCTCTTTTTGCTCCGGGCTCTCTTGGCCAAATAATTTACTGGTCATTCCCTTCAAAGAAAAGATTCGCACCGTCTGCACTCACACACAAACAGACACACACGGAAAAACAAATGCACGCATTAAATTATGTTCACGACAATTTGGATCACAACGGTGTTTTTGAACACACGCCCACTTCTGGTTCTTAATTTGCACATATCGTGCGAGGAGAAAGACAGATTATAAGCCAGAGTGTGTGAAAGTGTGTTACCCCGGTTGCCAGCTCTTCTTTCTGTTGTTTCTTTTGGGCAAGGTCCTGAGCTGCCATCTCCAATTCATACTGAATCAGCTCATGTTTTCTGCACACTGACCTTAACGCACACACAAATTCAGACATATTTTAAACCCTGACAGTCCCAAAACATGAATGCATTCTGCTACAA